TACCATGATTTGTACTTGATGACTGATGTATATTTACTGACTGATGTTTTTGAAAATTTTAGGGATATGTGTTTGAACTATTATGGATTAGACCCAGCATATTATATCACTTTACCTAACTATTCTTGGAATGCCTTTTTATCATTAACAGGAGTTAGACTAGACTTCAACAAATCCACATAAAAGAAATGTATGAGATGATTGAAAATGGGTTAAGAGGAGGAATGGTGCAATGCTCCTTCAAGAAAGTAGAAGCAAACAATAAATATATGAATCAAGATTATGATAAATCCAAACCTTCATCATACATAAGTTATTTAGATGCTAATAACCTTTACGGATTAGCAATGTGTAAGAAACTGCCTTATGATGATTTTAAGTGGTATTACGGTAGAATGGATGAGAAGAGGGTAATGAAATATAGTGATGATGATGACATAGGATACATATTAGAAGTTGATTTAGATTATCCAAAAGGACTACATGATTTACATAAAGACTACCCACTAGCACCTGAAATCATGTGTATCAATGAGAATATGCTTTCACAAGTCCAAAAGGATATACACAAATATTATTACGGGAAAGATGCCAGTGATGAAAAGGCAAATAAATTAGTATTAAATGTGATGGATAAAAAGAAGTATGTTTTACATATATCAGCATTGAAATTCTATTTGCAACACGGATTACGTCTTAAAAAAGTCCATAGAGCAATAAGTTTCAAACAAGCAAACTTCTTGAAACCATTCATTGAATTCAACACTGAAAAGAGAAAGAATGCTAAAAATGAATTTGAAAAGGATTTGTTTAAGTTGATGAATAACAGTGTATATGGCAAGACCATGGAGAATGTAAGAAAGCATGGTGATTATGAGTTAGTCAATACGCCTGAACGCTTCCAAAAACTTGTAAATAAACCACTATTCAAACACCGACATATTATAAATGAAGACCTTGTGATTGTTGAAAAAGATAAGCATACAGTGGAACTAAACAAACCTATCTATATGGGTATGTCTATTTTAGACTATTCTAAAATTCACATGTATTCGTTTTACTATGATGTTTTGAAACCCAAATATGATAATAGAATTAAGTTGGTATATACTGATACTGATAGTTATGTATTCAAAGTTGAGACTGATGACTTATATGAAGACTTTAAGGAGATTAATGAATACATGGATTTTAGTGATTATCCACCAGAGCATCCAAACTATGATAAAACAAACAAGAAGGTATTAGGGAAATTCAAGGATGAAATGAACGGTAAAATAATTACTCACTTTATAGGATTAAAACCAAAAGCATATTGCTATAAAGTATATGGTGATGAGAAAGAACACAAGAAGAGTAAAGGAGTAGTCAAGCATAAAGTGAGCAATCAGTTAAGTTACAAAACTTATGAAGAGACATTGAATAGAAACTGTAAAGAAGAAGTCAGTTTTAACACTATCAGAAGTAAGAACCATCAAATCTATAGCATTAATCAAACTAAATATGCTTTAAGCAACTACGACAATAAACGCTACTGGTATTCAGATTTTGAGAGTCTCCCGTTTGGACATTACGCCATAAACTATCTACGTAACGAAAAGATGATTTAAGATATATGGATATAAATTCAACAACTGAATAACTGAGTCAAAGAATGGCACGACATAGAAGAGATTGTAAATCTTATCTATATAAACTTAAACAATACAAATCCCCCAAAACGCCATCCTTTCTCTATGAAATCGTTTGATGAGTTCGATGTTGAAAACCGTAAAATAGTTCTTATTGAAGAATACCCGTGCCAAAACAGAAAGCAACCCGAAAAGAAAGAAGGTGAATATAATGAAAATGATAAGAACTGTCTTGGCAAATGTATTGTTGGTAGGACTAGAAAGGAATATTGCGATGCCACAAGAGAGCATCACCTTTAACAACCAAAAAAAAAAGAGAATACTGAAAAACACAAAGAAAAATACAAACAGCGTCATCAGAACAATAAACATAAGATACAAGAAAAGACAAAACACTACAAAGATAAGGAGAAATATTATGAGAAGAATTCAAAGCATAGAGCAGAAAACAAAGACGCAATAAGACAACAATAACGAGAAAGATACAACAGAGACAAAGATAAAATGAATGCAAAAAGAAGAGAAAAGCGAAAACAGAAGAAAGAAGAACAGCTACTAATCAACCAATACAAGTAGCAATTCATGCCTATTATATTTTTTATTCATTCCATCTAGTTTATAGTATCTATTATTCATCATATCACGACCAACTAATATCACTTTGTATTTCCGTTCACTCCATTGACTTCTAGTTTCTTTCCTTGATACATAGTTGCCCTTTCCTTTATCAAATATCTTAACATAATCTCCTTCACTTATGTTTGGATATTTTCGGTTGTGCTTTTCTTTCAGTATCAGATTTGTTCTGACCTGAATTACGTTATCAAGATTGTGCGCATTATTTGGTGTTGTCTTGGTGCTACTATGGACTTGGTTGTTGTATCTATTCAACGAGGGCTTTAGCACTTCCACCAATGTTTTGGTTTTGTAATGCCTCAATCTGTCCCCAATCATTTTTTTGAGCGTGCGTATCATCCTTTCTGCCTGATTTGCATGCGTCTTTGTTATTACGTGTGTTATCCCTTCCTCCTTTAAAAATGTTTGCAGCTTCTTGCTGTTCAACGCTCCTTCGTCGTCGCTGTAAATCGACAAAGGCTGACCTAATACCTTGAAACACTCCATGACTGCTTTACAAACGTCATCACCATCTTTATTCTCGATAGGGACTATGTGACATTTTTTGCTGAAAATATCTATGCAAACTAAACCATATCGTAGTTGACTTTTGATTTCAGAACCCACGTCTCGCAGCAAACTCGTGACATCCATCAAGTCAATTTGAAATTCATACTTCGGAAACGGAGCAGTGTAGGAATTGTAGTTCTTGTAGTTTCTTGTTTGCTTGTTCGGTTGCGCCCTCATCCATGCAGATACCATATCCAAAGTTATGCCCACATCGACTTTCCTCGCCTTTTCGTATAAGTCCCTCACCGAACCGAAGCCCTCCTCCACGCCGTAATATATTTTGTCCAATACTTTTTCTTTTTCCAATCTTGCCATTAAAAATACTTAGATTATAGTTTTATGATGTTTTCTTGCATCATAAAATCATAATGAACTCAAATCAAGAACCTCTGGCACTTCTTCGTTTTCTTGTGCTTTGTCAAGTTTGATTTACAGCTCATGGCAGAACCGCATATAGCGCATACGCACGGTTGTTTCGTTTTCTCTTGGTAATATCTTTGAAAATACGTTTCGTCGTTCGGTTTTCTGTTGTAATATCCGTCATCTTGTTTTCTCCATTCAGCATTGGTGTTCTTGTTAACGGATGAGTTTGCTTTGTAGCTTTCTTCAGATGAAGATGTTTCGCTGTCAATGAGTTCTTTGTTGCCAAAACCGTTCCAAATAAAGTCAAAGGTTTGATTAGACATTGACATTTCAACTCCGTTGCTTACAAAGTAACAAGGCATATTGTGTATATATAGTTAGTTATATATCTTAATATTTGTTTAAGTATATTTATACTATGTATATCAGTTTGTGCTTGTGGCATCTCATAAAAGTACCTAACACAAAATCAAAAACAGGTTCAACATCAAAGTTTATAGGCTTGAGCATTTTACCCTTCCAACTTCCCACCGGCTGACGTATTTTTAGTGACACCCAGTCCTAAACCCTCAAAAATCCAAACCCAAACATGCTTAGCGTTCAAAACAGCGAGACTTGAGCTTTGTCCCAAGCCAATCCAAAAACCGAGCCAATGTCCACCCCAAAACGGAGCCAGTTTGTCCCAAAAACGGAGCCTGTTTTTCCCAAACACGGAGCCAGTTTTTCCTAAAAAGCGGAGCCTGTTTTTCCCAAAAAACGGCGTAGGTTTTTCCCAAAAACGGAGCTTCCCAAAGTCGGTGGCTGGTTTCCCCAAAATTGGTGACGGATTTCCTCAAAGTCGGTGGCTGGTTTCCCGAAAAATGGGTGGCTGATTTTCCCAAAATCGGTGATGGATTTTCCCCAAAATTGGCGACGGATTTCCCAAGAGTCGGTGACGGATTTCCCCCAAAGTCAGTGACGGATTTCCCCAAAGTCGGTGACGGATTTCCCCAAAGTCGGTGACGGATTTGCCCAAAATCGGTGGTGGATTTCCTCACAGTCGGTGGCAGATTTTCCGAAAATCTGTGGCAGATTTTCCCAAAGTCTGTGGCTAATTTTCCCCAAAATTCGGTGGCTGATTTTTCCCAAAATCGGTGGCTGATTTTTCCCAAAATCGGTGGCAGATTTCCCCAAAATCGGTGGCAGATTTCCCCAAAATCGGTGGCAGATTTCCCCACAGTGGGTGGCTGATTTTCCCAAAGTCGGGGGCTGATTTTCCCAAACTCGGTGGCAGATTTCCCCAAAGTCGGTGACGGATTTCCCCAAAGTCGGTGACGGATTTCCCCAAAACCGGTGACGGATTTCCCCCACGTCGGCAAAGGTGGTGGCAGATTTTCACAAAAGTCGGTGACTGATTGTCCCACCGAGCCAAACGTGTTTTTACCATATGTTTTTTTTACAAACCTATTTTGGATTTCTGCGTGTGTCGTCCTTGCTCTTCAAGCCCTTGCAAGTGAAAGAGTTTCTGTATGGACAAGTGCAAACTTTTGACATTACAATGTTCACTGTCTTAGCACTGGAATTTGTTTCTCTTCAAACTTCATTCTAGCCAAAGAACTTAGTATTCACACTATGAGTGGCATCAACGCAGTGAGTGATATCAACCTTACTTCCTGACAGGACTCACATTTGACACAAACACACAGAGATGTGTTAAGACGCGCAGAGACTTTGCATGGTCAACCTTTACTGCAGATCGTCGCAAAAGTCAACTATTCAAAGAACACAAATGGACTTTCACATAATTTGTTGCCATTACTGGTTGAAGCCGTTGTAGCACCCATGAGAGATGGTGCGCGACGCCATGGGTGTGGTGCAATTTGGTGCATGCTCCTCGCCTGCGGTGTGGGGTGCTTTGTTGCACCGCCACGTGTGGGGTTGCACCAAGTGAGCCCGCAACGATGCCGAGCATGCCTCCGCGTGTCGCTGAAGAATGTGAGCTTCTGGGAAGTTGCCACCACAGTAGCCAATGCAGCCAATAGTACGACAGGTTCATACCTCAAAGAGGTCAACCGTACAGCCACAGCGTTTCTGCAGAGAAGAGATGCAGTAGATCGCGATGATGCTATTGCCAACCTCTGCGAACAGATGCAAATAAAAGGTAGACTCTGTCTGGTGCTTGGGGGTAAAAACTTGGGCAAGACATTGCTCAAGGAAAAGGCTATTGCTGGATGCAAGGAAAAAGTGAACATCCTTTCAGTCAACATGCGGGAGGCAGACATGTCTGGCAAGGATCTGATGACAGCACTCAACTTGCAACGTCAGAAATCCCTTGGGTGGGCACGTCTCTTGGTGGAGATGTTGGGCGCAGGCATCCGATTCCCTGTCGACTACGCCCTGAAGAGGACTGGTGGATTCAGTGAGGCTGGAGCGGCGGCTAAGGAAGTGTTGGATGTCGCAATATCACATCATCAAATCAGCATCGACAACTTTATCACCCGAAGCAGGAAGAAGATCCCGAGCATCATCATCGATGAAGCAAACGCGGCACTACCAGGTAGTGATGGAAGCGTTGCAGCTAGATCAGCTCTGCGAACCATCACGAGGTGGACCAAGGAGACAAGTCAAGCAAGTGTGATCATGGTATCCTCAGAGCTTGGCTATCCGTTTCGTCTGCTAGCAAACGGCTTAGACTTGAGCACCATTGGACAAATCATGGTCATTGGGGAAGTACCAGAGGTTGACATGCTAAAGATGCTGAAAGATGATTGGGGCATGGGCGAAGACTTGGCAGAGATGTTCTACAACTACTTTGGCGGCGACATTTACACCACCAAGCAGGCTTTGGAGAGCCTCATTCGCAAGGGGGCTGACTTCGACCCCTTTGCAGTTATGCAATGTCCCGGGCTGCCTTCCTGTGTGGAAAATGCATCGGCGAGGGCTCACCTCGAGAACATTGCCAAGCAGGGCTTCTCTTTGGTGAAGAATGTAAAGACAGACGAAGGTGCTAAAATGATTGCGGATGAAAACGTGGGCGGAGTCATCAACAAGGGTGCCATCACCTTCGGTTTACCCACCATCTTCACTGGCACAAACAAAAAATGGGCTGTCATCCCATCGTCCTACCACATGAAGCTGCTGATTGCCCATGAGCTCCAGAACATTCCTTTGCCAACAGGACGGTGTTTCACAAACTGTGCTAACATCTAAATCTAGGTTCTTTTGCTTTTTTGTTGTTCTGTTTGCTTACGCTGTTCCAAAAGGAGGTTGACAGAGGTTGAATAAACTTGTTGAGATTTATATAGATGGACAATCATGAGGTTGATAGATAAAAACTGATAAAACATGATAAAACAATACAAGCATCCATACCTCTTCCCTGCAAGGTGACACTGGGACTGCACCACCAGCTGTTTGGGTGAGACAAATCCGCAAGGACTGCAGAGAAGTGCATTCAATGACTGTGTAAAAACATTTTGCTGAGTCGTTGCTCTGAAGCAGGTTTGGGGAGAGGTCTTTCCAACCATCACCCACCTCAAAGTCAAAAGCTTTCCGCTCTTGGGCTGCTATTCGTGTTTCCTCTTGATTTCTTGGGCTTAGTTTTGTGCTCAGTGGATGAAATTGCGAAAAGGAATGGATTTGTGATTTGCTTGATGTAATCTCCGACTGCCCCGACAGCATCAGTCACTCTGGATGCAAGAGCCCTGGTATTTCTTGTCATGCCAGTTGTTCCTTTATCAACCGTTTTTGTGCACGTAAGAAAGTGTGTCTATGTAATGTTCCTACTAAGCAAAAAATGTGATTATCTCGTGTAAGTCCACTTGCCAAACAAAAGCACGGTCATCTTTTGTTCTTCGTAGGGTTCAGAACTGGTAGGGAGAAGATTGCAGGGTTGTTCATTCTTCAGGATTTGTTTAAACATATGTTCCAATAATCTTCCTGCGATTGATAGAGAGGATTTAGACTAAAGACTTTGTATGATGTTTTGCCATGCCCTTGTTCCTTTGCTGTGCCCTTTTGTCAGGTGTAGGAAGAACTTTTATTGACGAAAAGCCATGCCCCAAACTAAAAGCGTGATTAAGGGTAAGTCCACAGTGCAAGAAAATACACTGTCATGCTACGAACTTGGTAGGGCTCAGGGCTTTTAGGGAGAAGATTACATGGTTTTTCATTCATCAGGATTTGTTAAAAGATGTATTCCAAACATCGTCCTTAATTTGATAGAGAAGATTTAGACTAAAGACTTTGTATGTTTTTCTGCCATGCCCTTGTTCCTCTGCTGTGCCCTTTTTTCCCGAGAGCGTCTGCGAAGGGTTCTTCGTAAAAAAGCAGCCGTTATACTACATCTTCACACCTTCACATCTGCTGAGATCTTCACACCTTCACATCTGCAGATCTAGATCTTCACACCTTCACATCTGCAGATCTACATCTTCACACCTTCACACCTGCAGATCTAGATCTTCACACCCTCACACCTGCAGATCTAGATCTTCACACCTTCACACCTGCAGATCTAGATCTTCACACCCTCACATCTGCAGATCTAGATCTTCACACCTTCACACCTGCAGATCTACATCATCACACCCTCACATCTGCAGATCGAGGGTGTGAAGATCTAGATCTGCACACCCTCACATCTGCAGATCTACATCTTCACACCCTCACACCTGCAGATCTAGATCTTCACATCCTGACACCTGCAGATCTAGATCTTCACACCCTCACATCTGCAGATCTACATCTTCACACCCTCACACCTGCAGATCTAGATCTTCACATCACACCTGCAGATCTACATCTTCACACCCTCACACCTGCAGATCTAGATCTTCACATCCTGACACCTGCAGATCTAGATCTTCACACCCTCACATCTGCAGATCTACATCATCACACCCTCACACCTGCAGATCTAGATCTTCACACCCTCACACCTGCAGATCTAGATCTTCACACCTTCACATCTGCAGATCTCCTCTCGCTCTTCTTCTATTCTCTCTTAAGGCGGGGGCGGTGCCGCCGGAGCGCCACGAAACGCAACCCTTTCGCACGAAATGGACGTTGGACGTCCAAAACCTAGGTAAAATTGCGATTTTGAAGCGTCCCGCGCAACCCTTTCGCACGAAATGGACGTTGGACGTCAAAAACTGAGGAAAAATTGCGACTTTGAAGCGTCCCGCGCAACCCTTTCGCACGAAATGGACGTTGGACGTCAAAAACTGAGGAAAAATTGCAACTTTTATTGGTCGCGCGCAACCCTTTCGCACGAAATGGACGTTGGACGTCAAAAACTGAGGAAAAATTGCGACTTTGAGGTGTCAATCGCAACCCTTACGCACGAAATGGACGTTGGACGTCAAAAACTGAGGAAAAAATGTGACTTTGAGTTGTCAATCGCAACCCTTACGCACGAAATGGACGTTGGACGTCAAAAACTGAGGAAAAATTGCGACTTTGAGTTGTCAATCGCAACCCTTTCGCACGAAATGGACGTTGGACGTCAAAAAAATTGCGATTTTACTTGGTCAATCGTAACCCTTTCGCACGAAATGGACGTTGGACGTCAAAAACTGAGGAAAAATTGCGATGGACGCTTTCGTTTCTGTACAAGTGTCTGTGTAAAAGCGTCTGTGTGTAAAAGCGTTTGTGTGTGAAAGCGTGTGTGCGTGTGTAAAAAGCATCTGCGTGTAAAAGCGTCTGTGTGTAAAAGCGTTTGTGTGTCAACGCGTCTGTGTGTAAAAGCGTTTGTGTGTGAAAGCGTGTGTGCGTGTGTAAAACGTATCTGCGTGTAGAAGCGTCTGTGTGTAAAACCGTCTGTGTGTAAAAGCTTTTGTGTGTAAAAGCGTCTGTGTGTAAAAGCGTCTGTGTGTAAAAGCGTTGCGTCTGTGTGTAAAAGCGTCTGTGTGTAAAAGCGTTTGTGTGTAAAGGCTTTTGTGTGTCAAAGCGTCTGTGTGTCAAAGTGTGTTTGTGTAAAAGCACCATGTGTAAAAGCGTTTGTGTGTAAAAGATTTTGTGTGTACTTTGACCGCACGACATGGAACTGCAAAAGTGTGTAAAAGCGTCTGTGTGTAAAAGGGTCTGTGTGGAAAAGCGTCTGTGTGTAAAAGTGTCTGAGTGTAAAAGCGTCTGTGTGTAAAAGCGTCTGTATGTAAAAGTGTTTGCGTGTAAAAGCGTCCGTGTGTAAAAGCGTATGTGTGTAAAAGTGTTTGTGTGTAAAAGCGTCTGTGTGTAAAAGGGTCTGTGTGGAAAAGCGTCTGTGTCTGTGTGCAAAAGCGTCTGTGTGTAAAAGCGTTTGTGTGTGAAAGTGTGTGTGCGTCTGTAAAAAGGCATCTGCATGTAAAAGCGTATGTGTGTAAAAGAGTCTGTGTATAAAAGCGTCTGTGTGTAAAGTGTTTTCGTGTAAAAAAAAAGGCATCTGCATGTAAAAGCGTATGTGTGTAAAAGAGTCTGTGTATAAAAGCGTCGTGTGTGTAAAAGTCTCTGTGTGGAAATGCGTCGTGCATGAAAAACGTCTCTGTGTGAAAGCGTCTAAAAGTGTTTATGTGTAAAAGATTCTGTGTGTAAAAGCGTCTCTGTATAAAAGCGTCGCGTTTCTTCGCGTTCACGGAATGATGGTGCCGCGCCTTTTTCCGCAATGTGTGTGGGAATTACCATAATAAAATGAGATAGCACATGTCATTCGCAGACTCATGGCACTGAGCCTCCTGTGCACTTTTGTTGCTCACATTACATTTCTCCATGTTTTCTTTCTACCCCACCCCTTTCATTCTCTCTCTCTCTCTCTCTCTTGCTTTCTCTCTTTCTCTCTCTCTCTCTTTCTCTCTCTCTCTCTCTTTATCTCTGCCCCCTCTTTCTCTCTCTCTGGTTGCAAGACACATGTCATCTGATGCCCTTTACCAAATATTCTCTTCTTGATCACATCATATCTTTCCATAGCTCATATAAAATTCATCAACTATTCACCGACTATCTTTTACGACTACCATCCTCAGAGCTGCTTGAAAAACATCTTTTTCGCTCTCGGGCCAACCGTCGTCTAGTGTCTGTTCCCACCTCAACATCTCACCTTTTGAGTGATACAGCAAGTGTTGAACAAGCAGCCTTATCATCCCTATATGTTCCTTTCATGTGTTGCTTTGCATGGTTCGTGTGCTAAAAACAGTGTTGATTGGTCGTGTGAATAAAAGTAGGCTTGTGCTCCATCAATTCTCCCACTCAAGCGTCAAAAGCATAGTTATTTGCAAGAGCCACTGCAACAGTTGATGCCATTGTTCCCTTCGAAGTTCCTTTGGACTCGCGTTGGGTTCAGAATCAAGTGGTTTGTTCAGCCTTCTTTCTGGCATCCTTTGCCTTGTCACGTTTTGTTTCAGCACGGTTGGGGCGATTGCATGGTTGTTTATTTGGATGTCTTCATTTTCCACTTCGAAAGGACTTAGACGCAACAGTTTTTTTCTCTGCCCTTTGCTTGTTCCTTTGCCATGTTCTTTTGAGGGAAGTAAATGTTTTATACATAAAACACAAGCATATTTATTCCTCAGGATTTGTTGAATGATATCTTCCCAACATCTTCCTCAGTTTGATAGAGAGGATTTAGACTAAAGATTTTTTTATGGTTTTCTGCCATGCCCTTGTTCCTCTGCTTTGCCCTTTGGAACGTAAATGCCAGTAGCGCAAGGCTAGAAGAGATTAAATTTTAATCTCTTGGCTGTTGAGCTTGCAGGACGGGAATGGTGGCTTTGAGTTCGTTGGCAATGCCTTCAAAATCACTGGAGCGGTTGCTGACACCGATGATTTAAAGAAGGTGCTGACCTCAAACGGAATTTCTTTCATCTTGTGGGAACATTTTTCAGAAGAGAAATGACACATGTAAAGCAGAGCGTCCGCATCTACAACATTTGCTGTGAGTTCATGGTTTTCTGTTCATGTGCAATGCTGTGCCTTCGTTAACGTTGAGTAGACAAACAAAGTAGTGAGTGATGAAAACCAGATCATGTTTAATTGAAAGTTTGTTTCGCTCTGAGGCGATCAAGAAGGAAGAAGAACTAGCCATTGCACCGTCGAAGATAGAAATATTTAGCCAAGAGGACGCGCCGTTGTCTGTGCCAGCAACTTCTTTGCTAGTTGCAGTTCGTGTTTAGTTCAAGTTCGTTTCTTCTCTACAGGATGGTCAATGGAAGAAGGAAGACGAAGAAGCTTCCGTTGAACGTGGAGTCTCCAAGTCCTCCCCTCAGTAAATACTGTTTACTTGTTTCAAACGCCGTGTTGAAGTGCGGGGGTCAAGCAATCATTCAGGTCGGACTGCTACGGATACCTCATTCCATAGAGGCTGGCTTGTGAGCAACAGGTGCAGTGTGGCAATGTTTTTCTTTCTCAATGGTTCTTCTTGAAACAGTTTTGCTTTGTGAGGCTCTTGATGGCGACCCGACTGTGAGCATTGGGCAGTTTCATTATCAAATTGCGACTTCCTTTTGCTCCGTGCATCTGCGTCTTCTCCATTGTAAGATACGTAATATGTTTTGTTGTGGCAAGCTTTGCACTTTGGTTTTGTCATTGTGGGATTTTACTTGTTATTCTTGTAAAGGGGATGATGATATAAAGATACAAAGGCGGCATATCAAACTGGGAAATGACGAGTTGAAGAGGCAATTTGCCACAACCGAACGGTGAGCGGCTGGTACAGAAGCCACGGAGCTGTTCAGCGCAGAGTTTCACCCAAACGTGGCACAAACACAAAATGGAGTGGCAAAAACTCATGGAAGTGGTGATTGGTTTGACGGATGGCTTTGTGCACGCAAGCGCCGTTGTCGTTCAGTGTGAAATGACAAGAGGGAAAATAGTTTTAGATGGAAAATCGAAGTGGAGAAAATTTGTGGAATACAGTTCTTCTCTCTGGTGTTCTTATCCTTTTGGACTGTGTGTGCTTATCCTAAATTGAAGCAACAACAGAAAATACGTTTTAGGAGAAGACTGGCTCTGTTCGGGCAAAAAAAACTGGCTCCGCTTTTGGGCAATAAATTGGTTCGG